CAGTAGGGTCAGAACGTTTCCTGCAAACTTAAGTTTTCTAGGCTTTACCAAAAAATAAGCTGCGAACCTACTTTACGTTTGATAGTTGTAATGAAGTATGACTTCAACTGAAATGGCTTTACACTAGCCAACTTTCCCTCTCTTTTTTTAACCATACCTTTTTAAGTTGAGGCCTCTGAGTGTTGAGAATTATTTAACTTCCATTCCAATATATCAATTTAAAAAACAGTTGGCGTAAAAAAAGAACCTACATAATACTTACCCTTTGGAAAAAAGTCCCACTTGTAACGTAACTTTTAGGTAGAGTATTAATTTTTAGAAAGAGGAAAAGGTTTGACGATTATCGGTGAGACGTGATGTGTAGGGCTTCCTTCCTTGAGTAGAAGGCTGAATGACAAATGAAAGCCCCTTCAAATCTGATAGATTCTATGGCTCTATGTCTAACTCTGAAATAACAGCTGATTTTCTGCCATTAAACTGTGGGTGTAGCCATTTTGGCTGTGTCTTACTGAAGAGTCCCAATGTTACAGTAAGAGATGGAACTATATAGTGGATAAACCATGTTTCTGAAACTTTTTCTATTGTTCTGAGATTGCTAATGTCTGCCTACACACACACACACACACACATCTAGTCTACCTCATGTATTACTTTGCACATTTGTATTGAGTAATGTCACAGCAATACATACTTAAACTACTGTGCACACTTGAGTTTCTCTGCTGAATCTGTCAATCACCTTCTTACTGCTTAAGAAATCAAAATATTGACATAATCCCACATAAAACAGAAGCTGTTTGTATAAATTATGTACAGCACCCAGAGGCACTGAGTTATGCTACTGAATGAGTAACAAATACATTTGCACTATCTTATAATCCATTCTCAGTTATACATGATGTTAAGTTTACTGTTGCTCCTTGGAAGAGAATGAGGATTGTCAGTTTAAAGATAAATGACAACAGATGTTGAAAAAAATGTTAGCAAGTTATAGAAGACTCAGAGAGATCTAAATCTGAAATTATCTTCAATTTTCATCCATCATTAATTTTTTTATGTAGTATGTTTTTCCTTGGAAATGACATTCTAAAACATTTGCTATCACAGATCGAAAACAAATGCAAAGTCAAATAATATTCATAATAAATAGAAAACAAATGTATTTTTCATCGGAAAAGCAAATGTGATCTTCTTTAGAATATATGTATTTTTATGTTAAAATTGTTTACTGTGCCCTTTGCCTTTGATATTAGCCCTTTTCTTCCAACTGATATTTATCTCATGTCATCATCTTAACACTGTAGAACTTGAAGGATGTGGAGAGCTAAGGGACAGATCAGAGTTGAAATAAAGTAAAAGCCAACTCTAGAAGTCAGGCTTTCTGTAGCCAAAAGCACACATAGACCACAGCCTGGTGGACTCAGGCAAGATTCCCATTTCTTAGCAAGGGCTGGAAAGATTTTCATTATCCATCCCAAGTAACCTTTCATCGATCTTGTCTTCAGCATTTGTGAATATTCTCTCACATTTTATGTTTTTGTGCCTGCTGGACCTTCCACTGGAATATTCTCACTCATTCTCGGTCTGGCAAACTCCTTTTTCTATTGTATCAAAACCAACTGAAAAGTCAGTTCAAGTTCTCTAGGCATTGAGTGGCTCCTTCTTCTTTTGCTGCTTCCAGGAAATGATTAGAACATTTGTCACACTGGATTACAATTAATTTTCTATCAGTCTACCTTCTTGTAAGCAGTGAATATCTTACATTTGCATTAGGTGTTGAAATATAACCGAATAAAAAAATAAATAAAAACGATTTTTTACTGGGAAAAATGTAAGGATTATATAAATTATTCCTAGTTCTCATATTCTGTATTAAAATGCCAAGGCACCTGGGTGGCTCAGTCGGTTAAGTATCCAACTTCGGCTCAGGTCATGATCTCATGGTCCGTGGGTTCGAGCCCCACCTTGGGTTCTGTGCTCACAGCTCAGAGCCTGGAGCCTGCTTTGGATTCTGTGTCTCCCTCTTTCTCTTCCCCTGCCCCACTCGTATTCTGTCTCTCTCAATCAAAATTAAAATTAAAAAACATTAAAAACAATTTTTTTAATTAAAAAAATGTCAAATATTTCTTACTCCTTTTTTATATAGTTCTCTCTTATGAACTTAGAACTGTTGTTCTTCCCCCGCCCCCAAACAAGGTACTGAAAAAATAAAACACTACTAATAGCGAGAAAAATCTTATTCTTAGTAAATATGAATCTATAACCTATGAAGTCAAATGACTCCATCTGTTCTTAGGGTTTTTTTCAACAAATTTTGCATATAGCAATTGCAGCTAGTAATCTGGCTTACTAAATGAGAAGGAGAAAGACCAAAAAACAGGCATATTCTCTCCAGATAAACAAAAAGTGACCATCTGGAATTTACATTTTTTTCATATAAAGGAAAAAAATACATGATAAGTTGGAAAAAATAGCAGTAGACTCTGCCAAGTGAAAATAAAATCAGAAATTATTACTTGGCTACTTCTTGACTTTCACCAACAATTTTAATGAGCCGACCATTTTAAAACAACTTTTCTCTTTCACAGGTATCTGTAAAGCAAACAAAAAATCAGGGGAAATAAAACAAGTAATTTTTGGTAGCATAAAGAGAATAAGTGCTCTTAACTCTTTTATGTATTGATGTTAAAAATCTCTATGGAAGACTTCATACTGCTTGTGAAAGTTCTTTGCATGTTTGATGTCAATGAGCCATGAAATGAAACCTGGGAGATTCCTGCCACACAGTGATGGTCTCAACACAGCTCTTTGCTACGTACTCCTGATGTGTTGAATAGACTAGCTGCTTTGAAGGAAGTAACACGGCTAAAATGCTACATCAAGGATGGAAACAGGTTAGGAAAAAAAGCCTACAATAAATAAAAGCTAAAATGTTACCTGCAATAAACAATTTGTTTCCTATCAATGTGCTTTAACACAAATGTATTTTGCTTCATAAATACATGTATATAATAGAGAAGTAAAGAGTAAGGATGGCCTTCCCTTATTTTCCAACAAACAGATTTGGAAATACTTCATTTTCTCACCCAAGGCCCCTCTGATGTGTGGAAAGTATGAATCTCTTCCCATAATAAAGTCAGAAAAGAGAAGCTGGCACTTAATGATCCAGATCACAGAACTTGAGAATGTGACTTCAAATCTAGATATTTCGGATTCTAGTCTATGAGACAAACTACAGCAAAAAACATGTTCGTAATAGTAGCTTATTAAAAAGCACACGGCTAAATAAATGCAAGCAAGAAATGGGCTCTAGATCTGCACAATTCCACATATCCACACAAGCATGTGGAAAGGGGGAAAGGTAAAATTGTAGAACTGATGGGAAAATAAACACAATAGCCTTTGGGGAGGACCAGATGCTTTTTGTGTGCTATCTCCTTTACTTCACACAGAAATGCCATGTGGTTACTTCAATAATCCTGATTCTATAAATGAGGATTTTGATAGCTTCTTGAGAATCAGATGTGCCATAAGCACTTCCTACCCCTTTCCTTCACTTTAATCAACATAAGACTCAGTATATACCAATACCTGATACACTGTCCAGAACATATTATGCAAATAAAATAGATTGCTTAAATAAACTGAAGGTAGTAAATCTGTATTTGCTGGTGAATTAAAACACGTACCGGTATAATAAGGTAGCAACATACACAAACATTAATGATATTAGTCATTTCCTTCCAGATTAAAAACAAAAACTTCAAGATGGCATGACTGATATTTACTTATGAAATCCTATGCCACAGACCATAATAACATATATAAAACTTAACCAACGGATCATTAAAAAGAAAAGTGATTTCTAATCCTAGTTTTCCTCTAATCTAAAGCAAGCCAAGTAAACTTTATGGGTATTAGTTTTCCTACTTTTAAAATGAGGTTTGGGCCTGGATAAGTTCAAAGATTCCTTAGAAGCTTAAATAGCTCTGATTATATAAAATACTGAAAATTTGGTCTAGACTACTGCAGTTGAGTATGAATCTTAGTAACCAGGAAAGTAATCAAATGTATAAACAATACTACAGTCACCCTTTAAATCCTGATAATGGCTCACTATTTTCAACATTATAAATTTAAGGGGCACGTGGGTGCTTAAGTCAGTTAAGGGTCTGACTCTTGATTTTGGTTCAGGTCATGGTCTCATGGTTCATGTGATCGAGCCCCTTATCAGGCTCTGCACTGACAGTGTGGAGCCTGCTTGGGATTCTCCCTTGCTGCCCTCCCTAGCTCATGCTCTATCTCTCTCTCAAAATAAATAAACTTAAAAAAAAAAAAAACATAAAATTAAGCTTCAAATATTTCACAAGACACACAAACATCAGTGTTCCCCAAGAAATAGTTGTTTACCTAAAGAGTGACTTTATTCCATTCTAAGAGTATTCAGAGTTTGTTTTTATTTGGACACTTTTACCTTATCTCTTTCCTATTCTATCTTCCGACCCTTTACCCCCAAACCATAAATTGCACTCTCTTATCTGATTCATAACATTTAGTCTGGTATGTTCCAAAAAAGACATCCAACCATCTTAAATCTCCCTCCTCTGACTTACCATAATGTTTAAGGGAACCAGTACTAAGATAATGTTTTCAAAGTCTGCTTTTTATATTGTAGGATACTTTTTTTCCCCCTTAGGATCCTGTAAGGTAAAACCACACAAAACTCCACAAGACTTTAACCAGAGATAACCAATGCAGAGCAAAAGCTATACTCTGTAATTTCAATAGTTACTAAAAAAAGACAATTATAAATCTGTTAATGACTGAGAATAAAAACAAAATTATGTAATTGGAAATAACCTAGGAACTGGAAAGTAACAAAGTTTAAAATTTAATGTCTTTCAAAAATCTTGATTAATGTCAGGGGAAAAAAAAAGTCACTTTGATAGCATGCAACTTTGGTTTTGCCCTTTTCAATCCATCAGTATTTTAAAGGATACTTAATACCAGAATAATGTGTGACTCTGCCACGAACTGAGCCTGGCTGCTTCCATGAATGTAGCTCTATAAAAGAAGACAAAGAAGCAAAAATTACAACCTAGAGACAAGCAGGTCTTTTGTACATTTTTTTTTTTTTTTGTATTTTGTAGTTTTATACCAGGAAGGGAAATAATGAAAAAATCAAATTAATCTTCTATATATAATTCTTTTGAATAAAATAGTTATCACCCAACATATTCATTTGTTTACAGTTATTACTGTTATTTGTAGAAAGCAACTTAATTATCAAAAGTAAATTTAATAGAACTTGTTAAAAGGTTTACCACAAACACATGATTACAATGTAATGGTTATTCCAGAGTTACTGTTAAGCTGTAAGATACAAATCAAAGCAATTAAGTTTATCTTTAAGCAAAAAAAAATGACTTACCAAACATTAAATCACTCTTTTCCACATTATCAGAGTTTTAAAATAAGAAAATAGCTTTATATTAGCATTCAGTCCATTAGAGCATTCAAACTGGCTTTTTTTCAAAATGAAATTATTAAAATTTTTGCCACACTGAGAAATGTACAGTTTTCTATACCTAGTAAGAATGATTATCAGTTGATATCAGTCAATTACAGAAAATATGACACAAATCTCCATCTAGGATATTTTACTGCTGAAAACACTGACTTCCATTATTTTTGCTGTTAATCTCATGAAAATTAGCTGCATTTGCTTTAAATATAAATCCTTTTCTTGGTTTTCTGATTATCAAAAAATAATTGAAGAAAAAAATAACGTGTAATCTAACTTAATGTCCTCAATTTCACAACACATGTGAAGCAGAACTATCATTTCAGAGGACCACTTTGGCCCTCTCAAAATCTTTTGTTTTTATTTTTGATAAATACAGTTGAAAGCATGTATGAGTATGCTCTCATAAAGAGTAACAGAAAATTATCCCTCCTTGGACTTCATATGAGTCATGTCACCAAATTTCTCAGAAATTGAATAATCCTTCATCTGTAAAATCAGGAACTGAATTAGATGATTTGTGATCTTTTTGAAGTGTATAAAGTCTTCTGTGTTTTGTCATAAATTGTGCCCTGGTATTTTCATTAAAGGCTGTTCTTTCTACTCTGATCTAAACTGTCTTTGTTCCCGTGTCTAATCTCAGTAATTCATAGGACAGCTGTCTTATCTGAAGGTATGTTTAGGTGTGTTCTTTAAGCACAGCATCAAGCAAACTGACTAAAAGAGAACCGTTTCTGTTTCATTCACAGATCCTATTACATAAATGTTCTCTGCTGACTCTATTCTTTAAATGTATGGAGACAAGCATAGCTGTGAAAATCATTAACTTAGCTGCCAGCTAATTATTAAAGGGTTTTAACATTACTAGTGAGTGACAACAGTGAAATTATGAAAAAAAAAAAAAAAACAAGTAGCAAAACAAACACCATAAGCTATGTTTGGCATCACTTAAAGTGTGATTAGAAACTTGAGACCCTCAAAACTGAGAAACAGAGACTTTATTATTCTAATTGTAACTGTGAGGATAATAAATACAACCCCACCGAGTACTAATAACAATAGCTACCATCTATCAAACATTTACTTTGTATAAGACACTTAAAACTTTTAAATACAACAGCTTATTTAATTCTAATAATCCTACAAAAGAGGTATTTTTAGTACAGCCATTTTACAGACAAGGTAACTAAGGCTTAAGAGAAGTGAGAAATGTGCCCAAGTTTTCACATCTACTAGATGTAAACTCTGGGATTTGATGTTAGGTCTCTTTGATTTCAGATCCGGCGCATGAATTCTTGTTGGACATTTGTTAGACATGTTTTGTATGTTATCACATTGTATCTTATTAGCAGCCACATAAAATGATTATTATCCTGTCATCTTCCAAAGGAGAAAACTGAGATTTACAGAAATTAATTTGCTTAAGATCGTACAACTATTAATTGGTGGAATATAGACCTAAACCTGGGTCTAATGACCTCCAAGGTCCATGTCTTTTCTGGTATACAATAACTGATTAAAAGAAAATCAAGGGAAACATTTTATAAAAGCTTTATCTGGCAGTCACATAGTTAACTCTTGACCATTACAATAAATAAAATGAACATTTATATAACTGAAATATCTGAATATAACAATAAAGAATAATATGCTCAAATTTATAGAACAACCTCCAAGTAGTTTGCCTATGTAAGAATAACAAATTTAGAGAAGCAAGAACATAAGATATTTTCTGGATGAGTGGTTTCAAAATATTTGTGTTAAAGAAAGAATCTTCTCTGGTGAAAGTCATCAATACCCTTTCACATTTCAAATCCTATGGTCATAACTCAGTCTTACTCGACTTTATCTGAAGAATCTGCTACATATGATCGCTTTTGTTTTTTGTTTTTTTGTTTTTTTTTGTAAAATTTTCTTGACCTCTAGGATGCCACTGTTTTTAAAAATTGAAGTATAATTGAGACATATGTTATATTAGTCACTGGTGCACAACACCAATTTGACAATTCTGCACATTACTCAGAGTTCACCAAAGTGTAGTCATCATCTGTCACCATACAACATTATTACAATATTGTTGACTCTACTGCTCATGCTGTACTTTTCATTTCCATGACTTATTTATTTTGTAACTCAGAGTTTGTAACCCTTAATTCTCTTACCTATTTCATCCACCTCCCTCCCCACCTCAATCTGTTTGTTCTCTGGATTTAGGAATCTGTTTTCGTTTCTGATTCCACATAGGTGAAATCTTGAGGTATAGGTCTTCCCTGACATATTACAATTAGCGTAATACTTTATAGGTCCATCCATGTAGTTGCACATGGCAAAATCTCATGATTTTTTATGGTTGAGTACTAATCAACTATTGTGTATATGGGCATGTCTCTGTGTGTATACATACGTACATCACGTCTACTTTGTTTTCTTTTTTCCATCAACAGAAATACATTTTTATTCCAACTGTTTTTATTGTGGTAAAAAACATACAACATAAAATTTACCATCTTAACCTTTTTTTCCCTTCATCATGATGTGTATTCTTAATCACCTTTAGCAATATCACACGTCTTCCCATCCATCTCCCATGTGATAACCATTGGTTTGTTCTCTGTATTTAAGAGTCTTTTGGCTTGTCTCTTTTTTTCCTTTGTTTGCTTGTTTTGAGTGAAATCATAGGGTACTTGTATTTTTCCGGCAGGCTTATTTGCCCAGCGTCATACTCTCTAGATCCATCCATGTTGTTGCAAATGGCAAGATTTCATTCATTTTATAGCTGAGTAATATTCCACTGTGTATCTATACCACCTCTTCTTTATAATTTCATCTTTTGATGGGCACTTGGGCTGCTTCCATAATAGGGCTATTGTAAATAATGATGCAATAAACCCAGGGGAGCAAACACCTTTTCAAATTAGTGTTTTTGTATTTTTTTAAGTTGATTTATTTTGAGAGAGAGTATGTGAGCAAGGGAAGGGCAGAGAAAGAGAGAGCGAGAGAGTGAGAGAATCCCAAACAGGCTATACGTGCTCTCAGAGCAGAGCCTGACATGGGGCTCTATCTCCCAACTGTGAGATCATAACCTGAGCCGAAATCAAGAGTCAGACACTTAACTGAGTCACCCAGGTGCCCCTTAGTGTTTTTGTACTGTTTGGGTAAATACTCAGTAGAGGAATTACTGTATCATATGGTAATTCTATTTTTGTATTTTTTGAGAAACATCCATACTGTTTTTCCACAGTGGCTGCACCACTTTGCATTCCCACCAACAGTGTAAGAGGGATTCTTTTTCTCCACATTCTTGCCAACACTTGTTTCCAGTGTTGTTGATTTTAGCCATTCTGACAGGTACAGGTGATATGTCATTGTACTTTTGATTTGCATTTCAAATAGTGAAGAGTGATACTGAGCACCTTTTCATGTGTCTGGCCGTCTGGATGTCTTCTTTGGAAAAATGTCCGTTCATGTCTTCTGCCCATTTTTTAACTGGATTCTCTGTTTATTGGGTGTTGAGTTGTGTAAGTTATTTTATATACTTTGGATACACACCCTTTAATGAATATATCATATGCAAATATCTTCTCCCATTCTGTAGGCTGTGTTTTAGTTTTGTTGTTTCCTTTCCTTACAGAAGTTTTTCATTTTGATTAAGTCCCAATAGTTTATTTTTGCTTTTGTTTCCCTTGCCCCAGGAGACATATCTAGAAGAATGATGCTATGGCTGAAGTCAGAGAAATTACTTCCTCTGCTTTCCTCTAGGATTTTTATGGTACCAGATCTCACATTTAGGTCCTTAATCCATTTTTTTTTTTTTTTTGGTCCACAGTACAAAAGTGGTCCACTTTCATTCTTTTGCATGTATCTGTCCAATTTTCCCAACATCATGTCAAAGAGACTGTCTTTTTTCCCATTGGAGATTCTTGCCTCCTTTGTCATAGATTAATTGACCATGAAATTGTGGTTTTATTTCTGGGCTCTCTATTGTGTTCCATTGATCAACATATCTATTTTTGTGCCAGTACCATACTGTTTTCATTGCTACAGGTTTATAGTATATTTTGGAATGTGGGCTTGTGATCCAGCTTTGCTCTTTATCAACTTTGTTTTCGACTATTCAGGGATTTTTGTTAGCATTATTTTTCTATTTCTGTGAAAAGTACTGTTGGTATTTTGATAAGGATTGCATTAAATGTGTACATTGCTTTGGGTAGTACAGACATTGTAATTATATTGATTCTTCCAATCCATGGACATGGTATATTTTTCCATTTGTTTGTGTCATCTTCAATTTCTTTCATTAGTGTTTTATAATTTTTGCAGTACTAGTCTTTTGCCTCCTTAGTTAAGTTTATTCCCAGGTATTTTATTCTTTTTTTTAAGTTTATTTTTCAGAGAGAGAGAGAGAGAGAGAGAATGAACGGGGGAGGGTCAGAGAGAGGGAGACACAGAATCCCAAGCAGGCTCCAGGCTCTGAGCCCTCAGCACAGAGCCCGACATGGGGCTCGAACTCACAGATTGCGAGATCATGACCTGAGCCAAA